TTTTCCATGAAATATAAAACCAATCAAACACGCAGAGAGAATTCTTTTTTCTCAGGGAGCCAGTCTTCAGAGTTGGGTTACCTCTTTGACAGTCCTGACCTGAAATCCACACGCACACGTATATAAGCCTTAATCCATAGATCTTCGTTCGGCTCCCAGATTGCTAATCGCAGCCTGATAGTTTCGATTCTTACCAGTCAAGGTGCGTAACCAATTGATATTTTTTATACTCTAGTTTTGTTATTACCCAAATCGACATTGAATTATTTTTTATTAGGATCATTTGAAAGAGAATTTTGAACAAAAATTTGCACAAATCTTGACTTTCTAATTCCTGGGTTCATCTTATCTTTTCATCTTCTGTAATAGAATATATGTTTTGTAGTCTTTGTTGAAAAACCAGATATTTACGAGGTAGAATTGTGGTTTGAATTTTGCACGAATCTTACTTTTCATTTTCCTCTTTTATAGTAGATTTTTCGTTTTGTTGACTTTGTGGAAGAAACGAGTTTCACGCATATAATATTTGTACTTTTTGTTCCCGACTTTCTGTAATATGTTGAAAAAATACAGCAATGGAGAACAACACAAGAAAGAAGAAGTTAATATATATCAAAGAAAGGCTTGAACACAAAAATAATCTCAGTGTCCTCAAGTGTTATTTGCCTCCTTTCCAAAGCTATGAAGGATTTCCCTCAAATAATTTGTAGGATAATGAAGAACACCTAAAGTAAAAACGTTTCTTCAAGTGAACAAGTGAAAATGAATTTAGATGATTATGTGAAGAAACAAAAGTTCTAAATATTATGGATGAACAAGAAATGAATTTCATATCATTTTTCTTGAACTTTGATCACTTATTTATAGGCCTTGACAAGTTCTCAGGAAGTGGTGGCATAATTGGGTTGAAAGGCCACCAATTTCAAATAAAAAAGGGTCAAAACAGCCCATAACGGTCACATTTTATAACTATGCGACTAGCCCATGCGGTCGCATGGTTATAACCCTGATCGCCCACAAACTTCCAGTAAGGCCTTATGCGATCACAGGCCCAAAACGCCTATGCGGTTGCATAGGCCATTTTTTATGGCACTATAAATTTTTTATTTTTTGGGTCTCCAATAAATTCAACCATCCACGAGATTTTGAACAACAAAATTCTAACATAATTTGCCTCCCTAGTTTGGTGGNTTTTTGGGTCTCCAATAAATTCAACCATCCACGAGATTTTGAACAACAAAATTCTAACATAATTTGCCTCCCTAGTTTGGTGGTTGGCATATTTACTATCAGTTTCGAGGGCTTGTGTATAAGATTATTTTTTATTTTTTCTGTTAGTAATGCAATGGATGCTTAAACTCTTCAGTTATTACCTGATTTTTGTATTATTATGGGAAGAGAATTTTTATCATTGGGTTGGAGTGGGAATATTTTGCTGGCGATGCTATGGAAAGTGGTCATCTTTGCATTTCACCATTATGGAGCTGCCTGAGATGTTCTTTCAAGCCTAATCTCCTAATTATGCATAAAGAAGCAGGAAAATGAGTTACTTCTTTCTTAATCGTATGTGATGTGATGAAATTAGGAGGAGAATGTTTAAAATTAGGGAAAAGGCTCGTAGATGTCTAATCTGCCTATTATGCACACAGGAGCGGAGAAAGAGTTACCCCTTTGTTAATCCTCTGTCCTGCGACAAAATTAGGAGGAAAATGTATAAAATTAGGGGAAAATCTTGTAGATGCCTACTTCAGTGAATTGGGTGTAATAGCACTTTAGGATTTCTGATAAATGTAGCAGTCTGTTTCAATATTTGAGGCTTTAAATGACGTCATCCCGTTTTGATTTATTTTAAATGAGAATCTTACTTCATGGTTTGACAAATTAGATGCTTGTTACTTCAAAACTACCTAGAATTTCTTAGCGTGTTTATATTATTGATAGACAGTGGGGTGCATTGCATATTATAATCTTATGCGGGTTGATACCTTTCCTTGGAGGTTCTATTAGGAACTCTACTTATTATATAGGAAAAAGAACACCCAATCAATGTTATTCATGACACTTTCATTGTAAGTTCTTCAACATCAAGTTGTTGGTCTTGTTTTGTGAGAAGAATGAAAACTCGTGCATAGAGGTACCCATTCTCGGATATTCTTATGTGTCGGAAACAGAAAGCAAGAATTGAAACTCAACATTAACTGCTGTCGATGAATATTAATTTATTGAAAGATTGTTAACTATGAACTTTTTATGTACCTGTAAGTTCTAGGATCCTTATAAAATATATTCAATATTTTAAAAAAGAACTTAATTTATAAAGTCGAGTATATTTTAACAAGATACAAACAAGATTAACTGAATTATAATGGAATCATAAGATTTACTATAATCTTCATTCCAGATTATTCATGCTATCGATTTTAATTGAATAATGGAGAATTGATTTGAATCATATGACAAAATCATGAATTATTGGATTTTGACTAATATATACATCTGTGTGGGAGAGTGGGGAACGAATATTGGATGAGTTGTTTGCAGGAAAACCTTAATTTTGAAGTTAAAATTTTAGATGACCTTGATAAGCATTTATGTTGCCCTCGGATGCACAAAATTTCTTTATATAATAGCTGACTTATCTCCAGAGTGGTCCTACAAGAAACTTGGCTCTCAACTGATATGCTCACTGTTCAGAGAGAAGAAATATTTATGTTCTAATGCATGTCAACAGAAGCTTTCACAAAAATAAAAAGTTGTTTTCTAGTGTTAATACTTAGTAGATGGAAATTTGTTGGGAAAAAATGCAGATTATATAGTGGTGCTTTATGATCATCTGAGAACCAATATAACTTGTTAAGAAGCCATTTAATTTCTTAATCTAGGATGATAGACTTTCCTTTGAGTTCACTAGGAAAATTGCTTCATGGGGGAAAGTAATCTTTAGTTCCCACCTTGAATGAGGTGCATTGTATTCTGTGGCCCACACTTTACTTGGCATGGCACTTGATCTTTGTAGTTATTTGAGGTGAAATTTTTGCCTTATCTTGCGTTCTATAGGAGAAATCTATGTTGTCTGAATTCAATGTTGACGAAACTACAGGACCTATAATCTGAAAGCTGCCACCATGTCTTCTTCACATCTTCCAGCAACTTCAGATTCACTTGTTCTGGCTACTGAAACAAAAACCCCATCCGAGGCAATATCTATCCTCTATCGCATACTTGGCAATCCCTCATCTTCTGAGGCCTAAGGATAAAAGAACAGGCCATCTCCAATCTCTCTGATCTTCTGCGACAAGAGAACAGAGCCGAGGAACTCAAAAGTCTACTCATCCAGCTCAGGACCTTCTTCTCATTGATACCCAAGGCAAAAACTGCAAAAATTGTCCATGGAATTGTTGATGCGGTAGCCAAAATACCAGATACATCAGATCTCCAGATTGCCCTCTGCAAGGAAATAGTGCAATGGACCCGTGCGGAGAAACGAACTTTCCTTCGCCAACGAATTGAGGCAAGGCTTGCAGCTCTTTTGATGGAAAACAAGGAATATTCTGAAGCATTAAATCTTCTTTCAGGCCTGATAAAGGAAGTGAGAAGATTAGATGATAAGCTGCTGCTTGTTGATATAGATTTGTTGGAGAGCAAGCTTCATTTTTCTTTGAGAAACCTTCCTAAAGCTAAGGCTGCACTTACTGCTGCCAGACAGCTGCCAATGCTATTTATGTGCCTCCAGCTCAGCAAGGCACCATAGATTTACAAAGTGGGATTCTTCACGCAGAAGAGAAGGATTAAAAAAACTGCTTATAGTGCGAGTGAGACCGGAGAAGAGGCACTAAAGCCTAGACTTCTTCGGTGAATCAGCCCTGATTGTAGGTAGGCCCTCATATTCGAAGCGCTTCCAACTATTTTTATGAAGCTTTTGAAGCTTTCAATGCCCTCGAAGATCTCCAGGCCATATATAGTCTCAAGTACATGTTGCTTTGCAAAATTATGTTTAGCCAAGCTGATGATGTTGCAGGAATAATATCTTCCCCTAAGGTGGGCTTGCAATATCAGGGCCCAGAACTCGATGCAATGAAAGCCATCGCTGATGCTCACTCAAAACGCTCATTGAAGCTTTTTGAGACTGCTCTTCGAAATTTTAGGGCTCAGCAAGAGGAAGATCCTATTGTCCACAGGCACCTGCCTTCCCTTTATGACACGCTGCTCGAGCAGAACCTTTGCAGGTTGATTGAACCTTTCTCTAGTGTTGAGATTGCTCATATTGCTGAGTTAATTGAATTGCCTGCTGACCATGTTGAGAAAAAATTGTCACAAATGATCTTGGATAAGAAGTTTGCAGGAACGTTGGACCAGGGTGCTGGATGCCTCGTCATTTTTGATGATCCCAAAACAGATGCTATATATCCAGCTACACTTGAAACCATTTCGAATATGGCCAAGGTTGTGGACAGTCTTTACGTGAGGTCTGCCAAAATAATGGCATGAAATTGAGATTGTTTGATGCCCTTCCAGTCAGTAGCTACTCTACACTTCCCTGTCTCGGGATTTACCAGGTTGTGCTTGCTTTGTCATTCTCCATTAACCCACACTGCAAGTTAGTGTACTCTCAGATAAACATGTTTCGCTCGAGATTCTTTAAATTCTTAGAATTTTCAATTCCCATGATGTTCTTTGTGTTCATTTGAACCTTTTTTTGCTATTTTTTGAGGCAGACTGATACTTTTCTTGGATGTGTGTTTGTGGTGTAGTTCGTATTTTGACATGAATTTGTTAAAAGAAATGGAAGTAGAGCTTAATCATATTAATAAGGTTAAAAACATTGTTAGCTGCCTAATTTACTTTCAACGTCTATTGGTAAACAAACATAATTTCTTGAATTGCCCTATAAGAGAATCTTCCATTACGCAGGAACACTTCCCAGTAAATGTTATCTGTTGAAAATGATACATTTTTATCTGCGTTCATAAGTAGCAAAATACAAATGACTATGGTGGACGGCGTTTCACTCTGCCAGCATATTTGTTCAAGTTGTCAAAAAGCATATTTGCTCAAGTTGCCTTTTTCGACGAAGTTGCAATGGGAAAGGTTGAAATCCCGACCATGCATATTTAAATTGCTAATTGTTGTAAAAGAGTTGGTGAAGAACTTGGTTCAAAATGGAGATTACATGAACTGTCAAGTGCTAAGCATCTGACCATTGCTAAGACTTGGAGAAACACTGGTCGAAGAAAAAGCACTGTCTGCCAACATGACCATCCCATCTTAATCATCGGATGAGCTGACTGAAAGTTGTTGAGAGTCCTTGTATCTTGAAAACAGGCAGAGAATAGACAGGCTCTTAGTCCCTTGTTCTTTAGAGGTGCCTGTAGATTCACAGTTACTGGAAACTGGCAAAGAATCAATCGAGGAAAAATTGCCCTCGATAGTCATTGCCTCCTGTTCCGTCGAATCACTTGCGATGGTACAATTTACATCCGTCCCCATTGAATTCTCCACGGCTATGCTTGGATTGCGAAGGGAACCTTGTTTAAGCTTCAGAAGTGTTCTTTCTGTGCCATAATCATATATTGCATAAGTAGATAAAAAACTGCATTGTGTATCTGAGCATATGTGCAGGAAATGTTTATAAACACGTAGAAATGAGTGATGAATTGTACTGTCTAGATAAAAAATTGGTTGGCTGTCAAAACAAACTTTTATTCACAAATATACACTTAAAAAATAAAAAGTTGCTTATTTTTTCAATTTTCACCGGCAAAATAATTATTTATTTTAAAATTAACGTATTCACTTCTAAGTAAAAATTTACAAGCTCGGCTAATCTCATCGGTCTAATTTACCTTTTCCACCAAAAAAGGGGGGAAATTATGAGAATTGCAGTCGATTTGGATTAAAAATCCGTCATCAGAATTTCAATTAATATACACTTAGAAAAATAAAATTAACATACACTTATAAGTAAAAATTTATAAGCTCCGCCAATCTCATCGGTCAAATTTACCTTTTCCACCAAAAAGAGAAGGGGGGGGGGCTGCCATGAGAATCGGACTCAATTTCGATTAAAAACCCGTCATCAAAATCTCAATTAATTTACCAGTTCCGGTCAGTTATGATAACTTCGCAAATATCCGAACAACAGATTCACAATTTTTCGTGAAGTACACTCCTGCTTTATAACGATATCAGTTCAGAAAAGGAATAAAGGCGGGATTTCACCAAAATATAAGATTAGAAATGTATAAATATCGAAAAAATGTGAAAAAAATAAGTCCAGTTCCTATACATCAAATCGAAGGAGAAAAAAATACTTACCGTATATCGAAAGAGAATCATCTTTGATGATCTTTGAATTGGGTCTTTCCAACTCCAACAGCCCTAAGGAGTTGATTGATGATGGCCTCACTCTCCCCAGCATTTTCCGCTCCCCTTTCTCTGGAAGGTGTGAATAAATCAATAAATGGTATTGCGGTATTCTATAATTAGGGCAATTTTCGAAATTTCACGCGCCAAAAAGGGGGCGAACGCCGCGAACCGCGAAAGTGAAGACAGCGGGAAGTGTATTGAAAGGCCGGGACCCACATAACAGATCAAATTGAAATGGTAAATTTACACAAATAGCACTAAGCCCCTATTTGACAATCTTTCCAACTCTTTAATCTACATACTCAATCCGTTTGTTTCCCAAAGAATACATTTTAAATAATTAATTGATGAAGATATGTAATTAAAAAATAATAAAATATTTTAATTTTGCATGTAATATTACTTTATTAAAATATGTGTGGTTGAAAAGAAAAAAGATAGAAGTGAATGTCAAACAAGGGATCATTTTCAATTACATATTCATAAATAATATATTTTGGATGTAATTTCAATTTTTATTTTACTATTTAACTACACATTCTTCAAAAATTTACTACTCAAAACCCTATTTTTAGTCAAATAATGACCATCAAACGAGAGCTAAATAAGCTAAAAAAAAAATGTTTGACACTCTTTTAAAAACTTTTATTTAACATTACCTTATTTTTTTCAATTTTTTTTTTTTTAGTGGAGTGTCAAGGTACAATGATGGGGTGGTCCTAAAAGCTAATCCCTGTTTGATGAACATTATTTGAACCCTCTTTTTTCTACATACTTAGAGCTTGTTTGGTTGGAATTAACATATGATTTTAATTCAAGTTAAAGTCAAACAATCAATATTAATCACGTTTTTCATGGATCTCACAACTTTTCAATCACACATTGCAAAAACATCTATCACAATCTACTAAAAAATTTTGGCTCTTTTGATTCTCATTTTTATCAAAATATATTTTTCTCTATTTTCTTTTTAATCACACATTTTTCATTAAAATAATATTACGCATAAATTAAAAACTTTCTTTATTTTTCATCCACACATTCTCCATCAATTTACTATTCTAAAATTCATTTTTTCATAAAAATAGGTGTCAAACACCCTCCTAATTTTATTTTAAACCATACATCCACACAATAAAAATATCCTATAAGTAAACTCAAATTTTGTTTTTACCTTTTGACCACACATTCTATTAAAAATCACTATTCAAAACATTATTTTAGCCAAATAATGGCTATCAAATAAGGGTTTTCTGCGATTTCTAATAGATAGAAGGTATATCGCACATTGAAATACTATCGGGGAATTTTCTGCCATTAATCCTTAATTTTGAAACTACTTAATTTCTTACATATATAAAAGAGCGAAAGGTTTGCTGGACAAGTAGCGCAATTTCTCATCGTCTTCCACTTTTTTTTCACGCAACTATCAACTCTGACATCGCTCATTCCACAATCTCATACCTAGGGATGTAAACGAGCCGAACCGAGTCGGCTCGCGAACCAAATTTTTATGCTCAGACTCGGCTCGAGTAAAATGATCAAGCCTTTTTCAGGGCCTGAGCCAGACCGAGTAAAAGCTCGGCAAAAAAAAGGGCTTGACCCGAGCTTTCGGCTCGGGCCTTTTTGAGCCGAGCTAGGCCGAGTTGGGCAGGCTCGGTGTTTTGCTGAATTTTATTTTTTTTAAACATGTCAGTCAAAACGAGGCTTGGCCCGAGCCTCGAGTCGAGCGAGCTCAATCTTTTTTTGAACCGAGCCACGAGCTGCCGAGACGACGAGCCCGAAATATATATGTATATATCTCTGTGTGTGTGTGTGTGTGTGTATACATGTATATATATAGATGGAAAATGGATTTGGAACTTTGATTTGATTTAAGGCGGGGTATTAAATTTGATATTTTTTGGGTTACTTCTGAATCTTGGAATTTTTATCTTATGTATACTTTTGTTTGTTGATTCATTGGAGTTAATGTTGAATTAAAGAATTAATCTTATTTTTTAAAAGAATATTTGTTTTGAGTTTGAATTTGTGAATCTTGAATAATGGAACCAGAAATTAGTCAATTAAAGGTTAAAAAAAAAGCTGAGAGGTAATGAGAGGACATAGAAATGATGTGAGGATGGTGGAGATTTTTTGAATTATTAGGTGATGAAGAAGAAGAAGGTATTTATAGTTATTAGTGTGTTGTTGGGCCAAAAGAGTATTTACATGATTATGGAAGGAACAAATTTAGTAAAAATGATAAAAAATCATTTTTGGGTCACTATGGCTACTGCTTCGTGCCAGACAAAGCAGCAACTCCATGCATCACACGGAGTTGTTACAGCTCCGTGTAAGGGAAGCAGGCTGCTATCCTCACATTTATTTTTTATTTTTTTAGAAGTGGCTTTTGTTTGACAACTTTTTTTATATTTTTTTATATATAGATATGATTAAGAGATCAGATTGATCAGATTTAAGTCGTTTAGGACAAATTCAATTTTCCGCCCATAGAGTTGTTATCTTGCTTGTGACCTCATTTCTCTCTCGCTCGCTTATTCCCTCTTTATATCTATACTTATATATGTAATTGTTGGATGGATTCAAATCTTTTTGTAGGTGCTTCATTTTCGATTTTTTTATTTTGTTTAAATGGAATTTTGTTTACGAGAATTAGACTCTTATGTATTCTTTATATTTCGTATATTTTAGTGCTAAAAAATATATATTTAATAAAATAAAAGTGCAAAACATGATTAAAGTGCACAGTCATTGGTGGAATGAATCAAGATCTTTAGATTGAGAATTGTAGTTAAAAAAAAAAAAAAGAAATATTGATGGATTTTCTCTAACCTCATTTTCACGTCTACGTATATATAGAGAGAGAAGAAGAAAGAAAAATAATGGAAATGAACGGGTGCATCCGTGCATGTGCTTAATGGATGGGGATAATGCCAGGAAATGAAAGCGGAGTTGGAGTGAGGTTGGATTGGATTTAAGATAAATATAGGGTTAAATTCACCAACAACCACCAATTTTATATTTATGTATTTTTAATTTGATTTTGTTTCATCATAACCATCAAACTTCATACCTAATATTGGTATGATCATCCGAATTCATATTACGTTTTATCATGATCGCCCAACTTATTTTCATCATTTTTACTATTTTTTTTACCGTTAAAACAGTAATTTCACATTATATATAAAATAAATTAAAATAAAAACTTATTTAAAAAATGTAACTTAAAAAATAAAATAAAAACTTATTTTCAAAAAACAACATTTAAAAAAAATAAAATCTTATTTAAAAAAATATTTTAAAAATAAAATAAAAGCTTATATATAATAAAAACATTACTTACAAAAATAAAATAAAAAGTTATTTTAGAAAAAAGGGTTTTCAAAATAAAATAAAAATTTATTCTAACAAAAACGTTCGTATATATATGGAAAAGAAAATGGATGGTCATGATGAAATATTATATGGAGTTCAATGGTCAAGGTGAAATAAAATAAAATAGAATGATCATAGTGACACTAAATATAAAATTGAGTGAACATTGATGGATTTAACCTCATAAATATATGTTTGACCTTTTTTTTTTTAAATTTATCAATTTTTAAGCACATATTTTATCTATTTTTATCAAAATCTACTAAAAATTTAATTTTTAGCTAAACTCATTTGGCCCTTACTTTAGGTTCATTTTGATTTATTGACTTAATACAGAAATTTTGGTAGAAAAAGGGATTTTCTTAGAAAATAAATAAAAATGGTGCGAATGTAAATTTTTATTATTATATGAATCATTATACCGAAAAGCTCATCCAAAATTTCAATTGAGTTCGATATTGTTGTCTTATCATGCTTTGTATTTTTTTTTTTAAATACATAAATTTCATATGCATCAATTTAAACTTGATCTCATTACCTTGCAGTGCTTTAGTATTTTTGAGAATATTAATTTTAAGTGTAAAATAAGTTATATTCATAAATTGTAACTGGATATAGAGCTTGTTTGAGAGTGATTTTGAAAATTAATTTTTTGACCGTTAGGAGAAAAGTAGGATTTATCTGTGAGAGAAGAACTCAAATATGACGATTGAAATAGTGAAATAACGGTCAAAAAGTCAATTTTTGAACAAAAAAATACTCCCAAATAGGCTGATAGAATGCATACTTGATTTTAGAATTTGATCAAATGGAATGCATATTTAAATTTTTGTGAATTTTGTATTTTAATTTTGTCATTAGGTATTGACATGATTCCATTTAATTTTGAATTCAAGCGAATCGAATCAAACAATAACCCAATAGTTTTTTGATAATGAACTAATGATTTTTTTAAAAGATATTAAACCAAACCAAAATCGGACCATTCGATTCTCATTTTATTTTATTTTGATTCTATTACTTAAATTTTTAGATGATAAGTGCACATTAAAATTTATCATCATATTCATAAATCAGTAACATATGTCCAAATCTAAAAAAATAAACATCAAACAAATTCAACATCAAATTATCAATCATCAAATGAAATATTTTGTAAAAAAATTAAAAAAAGTCCAA